GCAATTCTCAACATTATTACATCAAACTAGTTTATCAAAGAAATATTTGCAACTAAAAAGGTTTACCTGAATCAGTAACTCTGATGTTTAAATCTTGCAACTATATGCATTTAGTTAAGTGGTGGGGATGTATTAAATTACTCTGCAGAGTGGATGCCAAGCATTACAGGAATATCAGCTTTGAGTTTTCCTGGTTACATGTAGATTTATGGAGTTTCCCCACGTCATCTACACTGACACACTGAATCTGGATCCAGCTCGACGTGCTGAGTGTCAGTGAGACGCTATCATCCAGTCATCCTGCATATTTTCTGTGGCATTTGGGCCTTGACTGGGCCTGTCGAGGGACTTACGAGCTCCTGGATGCTTTGGAACTAAAGTAATGACGATTTAGTCGTATGCTTTCTGGTTAAAGCCCTGCAGGAGAACCAACACACATTTCTCTAAACCTTCCTTAACTCTCATGAACAGGTGATGAGTCTGTTTTTGCATCTTTAAAAATCAGAACCCTCTGTTTCACATACTTTTTTAAACACATCACTCCATGTGCTTTTTTTTTTTTTTTTTTTTGTGTTGTTCTTTTGCCCAGTCTGTCAGAAACTCAGATTTATGAAGCTCTATTACCGTAAATGTGTCAAAGCAGCCTGCTGCTGCTTATCTTCTTCCCGACAGTCATCCCTTCTTACCCAGAGTTACTGGAAGGGAATTGGTATGTACACTTTTTTATTACAAAGAAAAGAACATCCTGGGATTTTTGTACTTATTGTACAAATAGAATGTTTGTAGTTTATCTTTATTTGGTAGGCAAAGTGGACAGCAAGAAGGATTGGGTGTAAAAGGGTCAACATGCAACAAAGTTTACAAGGTTTGTTTAAAAGGCATTGATGCATTTATTCCAGAGCAACCTTGATCCACTTCGAGTTTCTTTTTAAAACGAAAATCTAAATTTCCTTTTAAAACTCTAAAAACTCTGTATATTGGATGTAGACATCTGAATCCAATTTTCAAATCTGACTTTGACACAACAAAGTACGTCTGAGTGCACTGGGTCCTCATTCTCCAGAGTTTTCAACCACCCTCAGCACCGTTTTAAGAGCAGGTTTCAGTTTTGCAGTTTTTTCCTGTGCGTGCTCACAGAGCTGCAAAGCACGATGCGATGTTATGCATAGTCACGAGCCTGCAGAAGACTGATAGCATGCAAACGTGGAAGTAAACAACAAAGCCTCATAAGGTGTTTTATGAGGAAGGAGATGCTTTCAACACGTTAGACTAGCCATGTGTTTTGGTGAGAAACACTGAATGTAAACAACTTTGTTTACAAAAAACTCCTTAGGGTAGCAGTAGTTTGTTTTGTTTTTTTCTTTTTTTTTCATTTTCAACTTCCCAACCTCAAGTCAACCATTTTGCATTTAACTTTCCTTTCATGAGTACAGGGTCGACTGCATTGACTGAAGACTTGGTGTAAAACCTCATTACAGCCGCTACCATGATGCATACAATACTTTCAATGCAGCGAGGTGGAGATTGAGTTAATGGATCTTTGTTGCACTTCCTGTGATCCAACCTCACCCACACAAGTCAATACTGGTCTGCTGACTAAGAGACAGATATAGCATCTACGCTAATGGAAACCTTCTATGATTAAGTCAAACCATTTAAGATCAAATGTGGCCATACTGCTGCTCCGGATTAAAGCTGCTGCAAAAATAACCTGCACTATGTTTATCATGATCCATTTATCAATGGGATAATGTAGGAAACCTAAAACCAGGCTTACCCAACGATAGTGATATGAGTGCAGCAGCTTATTGATCCAGGTATTGATGAGGAACATGTGCCTCCCCAGAGGGGGGGTGCTGATGATGACCTGCTCCCCCACAGGACACAGCTTTAATCTTACAAACTGAAGACCACAAGACAAAGAAGAGTGACAAAAGGCCTGTTTCAGAGGGAAACCCAGTAATGATTATCCCCTTTAATGCTAAACTCCCATCTTTTATTACCAGAGGCTGTGGTGACATCTTGGAATTGCCTGATTTATCCACCACCCAAATGGATAGTTCTCAGACCAGAACCTAAACCCACATAATTTACAGTCAAAGAAACACTCGCTTGTTTGGGTGTAATTTGGTTGATTTGCAAAACTGCAAAAATCAAATATATTTTAATCAATCTGATTTTTTAGTGACAGGAGTTTGAACATTGTCATATTTATCAAATCACTATTATTTATGCAACACATTTGAGCCAAAATTCTTTCCAGTAGGGAAATAAGATTTGTTCAAATATTAAGATTACAACACTGCAGTGTTATTTATGGTGTGGATTTAACTGAGTAATTAGATTACCCTGACTGAGTTCAAATAAAAGTTGAGACCCTATCGGATACGGAAAATATATGCACGGAAGTGTCATTTTAGTGTTAAATTGGGGCTGTAACCGTTGAAGCATGGGTTTCTGTAGCTGTATTATGAAATATTTAACAATCAGTGACTATATATTCCAAAGGGCAACAGATATCTAAAAACAGTCTAACCCAGAACAAGCCAACACAGACAGTGCTTCAACTTGCATCAATCAAATCAACGTTTTTTTTTCCCTCACACAACAGCAGAGAGGATAACATTCATCACATCAGTGTCAAATACTTAATGGCACCTTATCTTTTTCACCAACTGCAAGTGCACAGTATGAACTGTAGTTTTAAATCAATGCCAGGTGATATATGGCATCTAAGAGCAGGGCTGTGCTGTGTCAAGCTGGAGAGGCTGAGGTAACAGTGAACAGGTCAAACATTCACCGCTAATGACTTACTCCTGAAAATGACAACAGCTCACGGCACACACTTCTTCCAAAAATGACTTTGCTCTTCTGAGAAATTTCCACACATGCGATCGTCTTCTACCACCTCAGCAACAACACAACATGTGAACTTAGATTTTCTTAAAAAATCTTTAGGATCTTGCAGGATTGAAGAAAGAACTACATCTTAGAAATGTCCTGCCTCATTTGTTTTCATCCAGAAAGCCACTTAGCAAATACAAGATCGGGAAACTTGATGAAAAATAAAAACAAAGACTCAAGACATTTTTCATACTTGTGAGCCAAAGAAAATGACTAAATTGATGTTTTCAGATTCTACAAATATTCATTTTCTCTGCCAAATTTGCGTTAAAAAGGACAGCAGTCATTTTTCAGTGCCTGCTGTACGTTTCAACCACATCCACCAACACGCTGATGACGGCAAGCTGAGCCCACCTTTCAGAGACAAATGTCACTCCCCAAAGAATATCAGGTAACGTGAAAGTGCCGCAAGAAAATGAAGACTAACCGGAAACACAAGTTTTGTTTTGGCACATTGCTGTCATGTGACTACAAGAAACAATGACAAAATGCAGCTTACAGACTTTGTACACGAAAAAACTTGCAAGCATTTGATTAATTTAACATAATTTTAACAGCAAGAAAATGTAGTTTTTTCTTTTGGCCAACATCTGCTGTGCTTCAGGCAAACCAGCTGGTGTGAATCATGATTCCGCGTCTGTCTGAGAAATCTGCTTCAAGGTGCTCACACACTTCACCACGTCCGTCTCTGTTCATTTGGTTTCAACCACAAGGATGTATGTAGGCATGAGCGGACAAGCACAGACACAGATGCACTTGTCTGCTGAGATGACACAGGAATCTTTACAAATTATTCAGAATGATGCACAACAGGGAACTGTCTTGTAACTCTAGGCTGATTACATAAACTAAGAATGCTGGCGGGTAAATCTGATACGAGGTTAGATAAAAATCTTTTCAAAACAAAGAAAAGCATTAACTACATAAAACAACCATTTTCTACTTACTTTACATGGGTTTTGCAATGATTCCTGCACGTTTTCTAACTTAGTTCTGAAACTGAAACATAAACTAGTTCCAGTGCAGTGCAACTACAACACACATACGTTTGCATGTGGTGAAGTTGGGGTTTCCTGAAGTCTTAGTCAGAGTGTTGACGAGTACATGTCGTCATCGCTGTTCATTCCACTCTCAGCCACAGCTCAGGGCGAATACAATCACATGCGCTGTAAGTTAGTCAAAGTATCAACCCAAGCATTTCCAGAAACCTTTCAGATGCCGACACATGGCGAACAGCGAGAACATGAACAAACACTTTTTACTGCTTCCTGTAAACTCCTCGATCATCAGACCACCGCTGTTAAAGAAGGCCAACATAAATATGCCGAAGCAAGAGTGCCTTAATTATATAACTCGCGTTCATCATGTCCTCTAGCTGCTTTTTATTCACCAAACTTGACAATCCTCGGGCCAAGATTTAGGGGCGCACACTGGAGGCTGCTTAACCTCCTGTCAGAAGAGCTTTGCCCTCTGGGGAAGGCAGGGCCGGACCAGTCAGCCAGGGTTGTCAGGTTTGGCACACTGCTCTCGAATAAGAACAGATATAGAGCTAAGTAGACAAATCCACAAGACAAACACACAGGCAGTGACAGAATGCCATGTGAGGCGAAGGCCGCACTCTCAGACACACCTTTTGTATTTTTGCAGCCAGGAGAGCAAAGTGTAACCGTTAGGGAGACTCCAACAGGGAACACAAACACATACCACAGCAACAAAAACATCAACGGCTGCCTTGCCTGCTGAGCGTACCCAATGATTACAGAATGAGGGGAAGGAATTAATTTTATTAGTGTAGACACAAACTCTCTAAAATAAACCTATATCTGGAAAATCTACCTTCTGCAGACAGCAGGCAAATATACATCCACTCAAGGACCCTTTTCTGTCCCTCTCAGTTCAAACCTTCTTTAACCACTTTTTAATTTCACTGGAGAGTTCTAGTTCATGATTCAACACCTCAAAAATGACACATCAGGGTGTCACAACTTTTCCTCTTTTTCAGTTAAATTCACTCAAAGGTACTGGCATAGCATGAGTCAGTCCTAAAACAAATGGGTGTGGAAAGTGTAAAAAGAAAAAGACAGATGTGAACTCACAGTCAGCGGCACAGAGCAGACCACAAAGATGACAGTGATGAGCGCCAGCAGCACCAGATGATCCATCTCCTCTTCGCCCTGTCCGAACCAGGCCAGACTCATTCTCCTCTTTCTCCCCGTCGACACGACGGAGCCACGTCGCATCATCTGGCTCCGGTGCATCCTGCACAGGCTGACAATCACTGATCCGTTGCACACAAACACTGCAAAGATGAGCAGTGCCATGAGGGAAGAGTAGGACAGAGAGAAGGCCAGCACCAAGCTGGCCTGGTCGTCTCCTGTCGCATCCATGTCAATGAAGCACCAAGTCCCGGGGCAGTACTGTCTGAATTTGCCATAACCACTATATGGCAGGAGGCAGAAAGCTAAAGAAAATAAGTAAATGAAGAAAAGAGTGAATTTGGCAAAGCTGCGGCGGATGTGCACAGAGTAGAAGTAAGGGTGGCTGATGGCCAGGCAGCGTTCCACAGCCATGGCACACAGGATGAGCGTGGGCGCCAGGCCGAAGAAACTCATGGCAAAGCCAAAGAGGTTGCACAGTTCTTCATTGCCCAGATCGATCATGGACAAGTTGCGGGCGTAGCAGATGAACACAGGCGGGCTGAGGAGGCAGGTGCCCAGCAGGTCAGTGAGGGCCAGGCCGGTCACCAGGACACAGAACACAGACGACCTGGACCGGTGCTCCTTCCGGTGAACCCCGAGGATGAAGAGAGCCAAGAGGTTTCCCACCACACCGCCCAAAAACATGATGATACTCGGCGCTGGCTTGCCATCCCGATCCACGGTGCAGGTGGTGTTGTGACACGAGTCGTTTGAAACAAAGCTATTGTTCATGTTTGTCTGACTGAGAAGAAATGCTCAAAGTGGAATTAGTAAGGAGCTCCCAGTCAACAAGAGGAAAATCTGTCCTCTTGATACCATCATTTGGCAACACAGAAGGCAGGGATGTGTGATGAGACCCATAGTGGTTTAAAACATGACTCCTGTCCCTCCTGTGGCTCTGATTCTCTGTGAACTCTATCTGTGGAACAACAACAAAACAAACCAAGATTACCTTTCCTAATCACAGAAACATAAACCTAATTCCATCAGTTTATATGAAGGTGTTCCCTGCTACTTCTTTTCATATTGTCCTATCACATGAAAATCTGCTCTTATCTTGATTTCTAGCGACTAATAATTACTCACCTTCACCTGGATCTGCCAGAAATCAGCAACACCTGGAGCGACTGGGACTGTTTACACAAGTTCTTCTTGTCCTTGTTCTTCTGGGTTTTTTTTCTCCTCACGGATTCCTTATTAAACATGAACGCTGTCTGGGCTGATACGGAGTTTAAAACTGCCGCTGCCGGTAACAGACAAACACTGAAGTCACAGACGGAGAGAAACACTGCTCCACTCCGATCCTCCTCCTTTAACTTTCTCTCTCTGTGCGTCTCTCTGTGCACCTCCCAGTTTGTTTCAGATCGATGTATAGTCCCTCCCACTACACTGGTGACTCAGAGGAACAAGACATGAACACATTTACACCTAAAGTCACTTCTTCTGCATTTCAACCACATATAAAAATCTATAGTCATTTTTTTCTTCCTTGTGCCGACATATTTTATACATTTATGAAGAGAAATATATATTTTAAAAGAGTTATAATGAATACATGGCTATATCTTAGCCCATAATCAGATTTTTATTTTTTTGTTCCTTTCAGACTGAACTGTTATCTGGAAAAAAAAAAAAAAAAAGCAGACACCAGCAGATTGAAATCATTATTTTTCAAGGCCCCACTTGTACCTCTCACACACTCTTTGGTTATTATTACATTGGCTTGTTCCCCATGTGTGTTCAGAAAAAAATGCAACCCAATTAGTCTTATTCTAAGTATTTATTTTGGCCGTGTTTCTCCTTGGGTTTAAAAAGGTGTTTTGAAAAGCCTTAATCTCAGCTTGCTTACATTTCATGCAGCCTTTGGTGCAACTCGGCTGAGAAAAGGGAAGAACCGACACATGATAGCTACGAAAGCAGCTTCTTCTCTGTGGTTTTTGTCCCTCTTGTCCCACTGGTTTGTTCCTCATTCATGTTGCGTTTGTGCAGTCTTTGGGGAAATACCAGCGTGGAGAGAAAGAGGTGAATCCCATTTTTCTCACTGTGTGAACCCTGAATGTGATGTTCGATTAGACTTCTTTAGTGAACACTGTGGTGCATGGGCAGATTGTTCAATTCACACTGTCAAGGAAAAATAATTTAGGATTAATGCAATAACCCTCTGAACTGCAAGCTTAAGTCTTGGCACCTTTATGGAAACAGCACATCTAGAAATAAAGAGAACTCAAGTATGTTTATTGTGCAGAATAACAAACGTGTAATGCTATATATCATAAAAGGAAAATATTAAAGGTGCAAGTTTTGTATTGTTTAATTTATACAAATTGAAGAGGAAAAATCGAATCAACATTATTTCAAGTAACCACAGGTCATACGAACACTGGGGGGAAAAAATACAGCCTTAACTAATTTTGCTTCCATTTCCCCTAAATTGTAAACACAGCCTGCAGTTCAGCCTGGCTCACCTGGGAACATATGTCCCTGAATTTTGCCACATAACTGTTGGTCACACCTGGGTCACTAAAGGCTCTACATTTGCAACAAGAAGTACAGCATGTGTTGTCTTTTTAGAGAATCTTGTTGTAGCAAATTATTTATCTTTATTACATTTTTAAATGAGACATCTAAAATAAAGTAATTTTGATGAAAAATAATGATTTTAAGCTTAAATTTGGTCAGTTTTCCCAATGGACTGTCAAAAACAAGTAGTTTGAAACCCATCTGAAATTTAAAAATTGGACAATTCTTTCTGATTTTACAGTTTCTTGCTTTGATAAATGGTGTCATATTGGCAATGGTTTATTAACCCTTGGCCTCTCAGAGGGTTAATAATAGGAAGGTTTGCATTGCCTTTTTGTTATACAATCACCATTATTAAATAGAACCAATCTACGGGAAATTGCTGTGATTATAAGTTGGTTGAATAATGTAAAACACACACTGTGAACCCACTGCCATTTCCCCAGACAGGATCTAATAATGATGAAGTTCCTGAGGAGCCTTTATCGTGCTCCTTAATGATTTCTTTTCGTGACACCTACAACAAGAAACAAACCACCAATGAGATCATGACAACCATGATTACAAACTGCTGCATAGTAATTACATTTCATTGCTCAGATTCCACTCAGAGTAATTCTACTCCCTGCTGCTTCCTGTTGCTGTTTCTGTAACTGACAGGACGTGGTGATCACAGCGTAGTGCCGTTGTTCAATTCTGGATGGAGTAATGGAGATCAAGTTTCTTGTTGTTTCATAAATGAAACCATTCATGCACAGTTACACAGCTCGGTAGTGGGTGGCTGTTTGCTTGTGCAACTCACTGTGGTATTGTTCAACAAAGAAATGCACATATTTGTCTTTAATCCTCTTCTCAGTTTCGCCCCATGTCTCCAGCCCTCAATCCCTCCCTGACAAACAAAGTTCTAATTTACTTGTAACTACCACAAAGCACCTTAAGCTGTGGATGGCACACGGGGTGTTTACAGCTGCGCTGCCCATAAAACAAACCAGGCTGGCACTTTTAAATAAACAGCAGACATAGAAGCTCAAAACAAATGCTGATGTACTTGCACACATTCCCCAAACCAGCAGCCTGAGACATCGAGATCATAACATTTAGTAAATTTACACAAGCTGGTATTATGATACAGAGGCAGTTACAGTAGTTACAGCTAAGCTTCGATTTACTGTAAAAGCTACTGATGTTTGGTTATAGGAATCCATTTTTAATTAATGAGGTGATACATCTTTTGTACTGACTGTATATATAAATGGAAGAGCCCCTCATGTCGCGCACAGGTTTGCTGAGCTGCGTTTTTTAACCTCAGTGTGGTGATCATCACCGTCATGGCACTGCCTCGAACTGCGAGGGACCAAGCTGGAAACGATGAGGAGTCACAGGTGGATTTGGATTTTATCTTCCGAAAATTAGAATATTCTGTCTACAGAAATAAACACTAAAGTTCTGGGGTAATAACAGAGGTCAAATGAACAGAACCCCATCTATGCTATGATGTCAAAGTAGCTTAACAGATCATCTGCACTGTCAGACTAAACATGACTGATCAGCCAATCTGCACACAATAGAGGTAGCACAAAACACAATCATCTGACCTAACTAAAAAGGAAACAAAACAGCACAGTTAGGCTTCTCATCAAAATAGCATAGTATTTAAAAAATCAGTAAATACCTGACTTAAGGCAATGGAAAACACAATATGTTTCAATGAATTAATCCCTCCCTGTTGAGATGGCTGCTTGGCACGGCCTCATGGCAGTTTGAGTATTTAGGACTTCTGCCTCCTAATCTTTTGACCAAACCCAGCCAGATCACCCTGGCTGCAGAAGTATTCACCCCCCCTAACATCAGTAAAACAAAACAAGAATGAGTACAACTTAAGATAATTTAACATAATATTGATATACCAAAGTTAACTAAATGTGAACACTGCAAATAGAACAAATGTACTTTTGATAAATGCTAAATAAACCATGAGTGTGTTGTTTGAAATGAAGGATAATGTGTCGTCATGTATGCGGTAATGTGTTTGTCTGTCCTATGATGCCACCCATTCAAAGCAGCCTTAAATCATCAGAACTTTAAGCATTAATACAATTTAAATGGGTGAGTTGTTGGAATCCCCATCGCCTGTCGGGATTAGTTTAATTCAGTTTAAGTAAAATAGATACACAAAATATTGGATGATAGATTGTAAATGATAGCGAGACTGATGACTGGATGGTTTGACAGTTGGATGGAAACATATTTGAAGTTTTGGATGATGGATGGGATGACAAAAGGATGAATAGTTTGTTCATCTGATTAGCATTATTCTTTTTCTCTTTGCTTACTAGACACAGTAATGACCCAATATAAAAGTAAACTCAGGAATTGATTGAACAGGAGTTGAAGTGGCCTCATTATAAATTAACTTACCAGACTTTGTATTTGATCTGGTAAGCATAACTTCTTCCTCTTTTGACTCAGTATCACAGAAAGTGGGCTTCCAGCCACTTGCTGACAGTAAAGTCCTCTTCCCACTGGTATGAACATGACCAATGAATATCACTTGAGAGTTCTGGTGAAGGAATTCACTTACGTAGATGGTTCATTCTCAGAAAGAGATGTGGTATCAGTAAATACTTCAAAGCCATCATTTACTCAAGGGTGGCGATATTTGGCCGCCTTGACCAGATTTCCGAAATATGAGGAGTTCAGGGACTTGGCTGTGTTTGTCTGCTCTCTCATTCCTTATTGGAAGCAGAATGTTAGCGGTGGCAGGGAAGCAAATATAAAAAGTAAAGGGTCAAACCGAATCTGTAGAGATTTCAAAAAGCCACCACAGTTCAGATCTGAATAAGAAAAGGGTCCCATTTGACGTATGCATGTATGTACGTATGTGTGTTTGCTGTCATGATTTAGAAATGACTCCCACACTGTACATACCATCACAAGCCAATGGGGGGGGGGGTCCAGCACTTCCTATTTTGTTCCCGTATTTTCGCAAACTGATACGTATCAAGTGTCGAAAATCATGGAAATGTTAAAAATCACCAAATTCTTGTTATTGCCCAGCACATAGTTTCAGCCTTGCATGTCATGAAATCCCGGAACGCGTGACTTTTTTTTGCATTCCAAGTCTTCAACTCATCCTTTGTGTTTTTACATTCAGAAGACTAGTGGGAAACAAAACAGACCTTAAGATTTATTATGTTAATGGTGTTCAATGAGCCAGAGCTGATGCTGATTATAAGGACTCGAGCTGGAAATGGTGAAGAAGAGGCTGCTGATGGAGACGACAGACAAATAAAAAATTGTTTTGAGTGTATTTGAGCACACCTTATCTGTGCCATTTATAGCTGCGACAGCATGTTTATCTAAAGACTGACAAGTCACAGTATAAATTTGTATTCGTCATGCTCACTTAATAGCTACATCCACAGCGGTATAAGCAGTGTACACAACTTGATATCTCTAGTTCGGCACATCAGTGACCTCTTCAGCAAACCTGCCTTGAATAAAGCACTAAATAAGAATTCCATCAAAATTCAAGAGTTTGATAAAGTCAAGAGTCAAATATATAGAATTCTGAAAAACATTTTGCATGCATTAAGTACATATGGTAGAGTGGAAAATTACACAGAAGCGCACAGGACTTTCTCAGTCCTGTAGACAATACACAGGCACCTATTACATACAAATAATGAGCCAGGCCTGTGTTAGCTTACCTTGTTTGATGTAATCCAAACCATAATGGAATTTAAAAATGTTCATTCTGCCAACAGAGGTTGCTTTTTCAGGAGCTTCACGTTCTGCAGC